AGATAAGCAATAATAAAATAAATATTATATGATTCTCTCTTGTCTATTTGAGATATTATTACCTTACTTTAAAGTTAAGTTCTAAAAACTTTTGTAAAATTTAGTTTGAATTAGTTTCATCTTCATGTTATTAAAGCAAAGTGAAATTATAAGGGCTCATAACAAAAATATGTAATTTTAAAGAGAGTTTGTGTTATTTAAATTAAAAATTGAATCCTTCCGACTTACAACTAATAAATTTGCAAGACAAAAGTTGTCACTTGTTACAAATCAAAATATGTTGTAAGAACAAAAATATACTTGGTTCTATTTCATTGGAATTTAAGATACTCTTTCAATAATGCAAATCCTTTTTACCCGCCACTGGAGAATAACCGAAACACTTATTGTTAGTCGAGTTATATAATAAGCAACGCGAACGATAAACATGGAAATTAATTAACTTAGTTGGCACAAAATGTAAATGTAGTGAATTATTCGCATAGGGTACTTTAATATTTCTTATAATCATAGGCAGCTCGTTGACGTTATTTTAATAGGCACAAAGTAACGTACAAAGTGTGATTTTTCAAAAAAAATGGTCAGACAAAGGTTGTAGCTGTTGATGGGTTAAAAAATACGCGGCTGAAATTTTGGCATCTCTTTCTAGAATACCCTGTATAATATATCACCAAAACAAACAGGTGTATTAAATCATGCTTTAGATATAGTAAAAATAAAATTGTACATGCAAATAAATTTGGAACTATTACATATTCTAAATATCGTCAAAATTGAACAGTAATTTATTACACTTGTTTTTATTATATGTACCAATATAATTTAATCGTTAAATGCAGCTTTATAGATGAATAAGAATTTTCAAAACACTAAAAATATTAAAAAAACAAAACGAAAATGCAAATATTTAAAACCTGATTCGTTGTATTGCATTGGAATTCTATATAATTGGTTTTGAGACAAAATCTGTGACAGTTTTTTTAGTACTTACTCAACTGACGTCTTTATGTGTTAAAATATATATACAGTGTGTCCCAGATTGTGTCCCAGAGCGGAAAAATTAATTTATTTATAGTTTTATTAGAAAATAAAAGTTTCTGCTTCTCAAAATTTTTTAAAATGTTACATCTTTCTTGATTTTATATTTATATTTTGTGACCTTGAATCCTCGTTGGCTACAAATTTTAATAGATGAAGTAAGTAATAATAGAGTAAACATCAAATCTAACATTTAACTATGGAAAGGGGCAAAAACAAACAAAAACTGTTAAAAATAATTAAAATTGTTATTATAAATTCGGAAGACGAAGACAGATTTAAGAAACGTTAACAACTTTTTAAAGTGAACGATATAGAGGGTGTCCCATAAGTAACGGTACATAGAGCAACAGCGGATTCTATACAGTAAAATATTACAATTTAACAAACTTACCTTAGTGCAAAAATTGATACCGGGTGTGAAAGTGAACATTTTGTTTTCATTATTTTTAAATAACCAACGGATTCAAATCCTATCATAATTTTGTTGTTACTTACTAGAGGGCGCAACTTGCGGCGCATTGCTTCTCTCTAAAATGTCATAATTTTTCTGTTTCTCGATATATCCGCCCTTTTAATATATATTTTTTATTTTTCTGTCTTTTCTACGGAAAAAAATATACTTTGCAAGTGTCGCTACAAGTAACCATTTTGGAGATATTCATCATTAAAGTTTATGCAATGCAATGAATTTAAATAATTTGGTATAGGGATGGATGTATACTTTTCCAAGGTAGGCTTTGAAAAACAAAATTAATTAATTAAATTATATTTTTTTAATTATTAAATTTAAATGATGACATAATTGAAAGGAAACATACTTTTAAGTAAAAAACAATAAAATACGAACTAAATAACAACAAATAAATAATCAACAATTATTAAAAAAGGCGATCCATTTTCTGTAATTGTTGAAAGTGGTTTCCATTTATTTCGAAATTTTAAAAGTGAATATCTCGAAAATGGTTGCTCGTAGCGATATTTACCAGGTATATCTTTGTTATGTAAACAGGAACCTCCGATTCCCAATACATGTCCAACATCTGTAATTTTTAGTCCAATTAAATGGGCCTTTGAATCGAAATTTGATCAACTTACCTGAATTTTTGATATAAGTTAGTTTGAGGTATATAATAACAATAAGTAGCAGTAATTTTTTTCAACCCCTGGCCAGGGGTGAAAAAAGATAAAATAAAGTGGTTTTTCAAAATAACTCAAAAGGGGTAAGTGCTAGAAAAAAAGTTTCTTATAAAAATTGTAGACCATAAAATTCTACATAAAAACGGTCCATTGACTTTCTTGTAGTATTAAAATTAACAGAGTTAGGGTGGCTAGAAGTTAAGGGATGATATCAGAAATCAGATATCAAGGAGAAAAATGAATTAATTTTATAATTTTTTTTTCAATCTACTCTAAAAAATATAAACTTTCTTTTCAGAAAAATAGATACAGGGTGGGCCATTAGTGTGAGAAAGTAAAATAACTCAATTGTTATTCATAATACAGAAAAAAAGTTTATATAAAAGTTGTACAAAATCAAAAAACCTAAAGGAGAAAATTAATTTGAAACACACAGGGTGATGAGTAGAAACGGGATGCGCCAAATATTACATTTTTTAAATAGAACACCCTGTATATTTTTAAACATATGGATTTCCCAGAAAATTGTGTATATGGCAATATAAACAGTTTAACATTTTAGTGCAGGGTTGCCATGTAGAAAATTCTTCGAATTTTGGAAAAAACATGACCTCGAGGAAGTTGTATTAACTTTCAGTTACCAACACTTGGAGCAAAAATATTTGACAGAGTTATAGGCAAATGTTAGGCAAAGACTCCTATATTAGCTAATATCGATATTTTATACAGGGCATTTTTTAAAATACAATCATTTTTAGAAAGTTCATACTTGATTTTCTAAAATTTTCAAATGGAACTCCTTATATTTTATTGTTCTATTTTATTCACATATCAGTCCACTTCAACTTTTATTAAGTATGTTCTACACCTAAAGTTGTTAGTTTTTAAGACATGGCAACATTTCTGAAAAAATATAATTTTTATTATTTTCGGTCGCATCAAATGGCTTTGGAAAAAACTGTTACATTGGGTCAACTTGTTAGTTCATAATTTATCATTCCATTTTAAGTTAATTTTATTAGCTAATATTTATTTACAGTATTCTATAAAATAATAAAAATTAAGTTTTTTCAGAAATGTTGCTATATCTTAAAAACTAACAACTTTAAGTGTAGAACATACTTAATAAAAGTTGAAGTGGACTGATGTGTGAATAAAACAGAACAATAAAATACAGGGTGTTCCATTTGAAAAATTTTAGAAAATCAAGTTTAAACTTTTTAAAAATGATCGTATTATACAAAGTGCCCTGTATAAAATATCGATATTAGCTAATATAGAAGTCTTTGCCTAAAATTTGCCTATAACTCAACTCAAATATTTTTGCCCCGAGTGTTAGTAGCTGAAAGTTAATACAACTTCTTCGAGGTCATGTTTTTTCCAAAACTCGAAGAATTTTGTACATAACTTGGCAACCACGCACTAAAATGATAAACTGTTTATATTGCCATATATAGAATTTTTTCGGAATCCATATGTTTAAAAATATGTAGTGTTCCATTAAAAAAAAATTAATATTTTGCGTGTCCCGTTTTTACTCATCGCCCTATATGTATCAGTTAATTTTGTAGTTCAGGTTTCTTGATTCTGTATAACTTTTATATAAACTTTTTTTCTTTATTATGAGTAACAGGGGAGTTATTTTACTTTCTCCCTGTATGTTTTAATTTTTAATAAAGAAGTTTAACAATTTCAATTTTTTAATCATTATTTTTTATAATTTAATACTAAAACTATTTTTTTCTATGCCATTTGATTGGTTATTTAAAATCATGAATCATGTTTTACAACAAAGAAAAAATTACGTTCGCTTTGTGAAACTTTTTTATTAAAAATTAAAAAATATATCTATTTCTCTGAAAAGAAAGTTTACATTTTTTAGAGTAGATTGAAAAAAAATTATAAAATTTATTAATTTTTCTGCTTATGACTTTTTAAATTTCTAAAATCATCCCTTAACTTCTAGACTCCCTAACTCTGTTAATTTTAATAGTACAAGAAAAAGTCAATGGACCATTTTTATGTAGAATTTTATGTCGTACAACTTTTATATGAAACTTTTTTTTCTAGCTCTTACCTCTTTTGAGTTATCTTGAAAAACCCCTTTAATTTATATTTTTCCACCGCTGGCCGGGGGTTGAAAACAAAATTACTGTCACTTATTGTTATTATATACCTCAAACTAACATATAAAAAATTTAGGCAAGTTGACCAAAACTTTAATTTAATTTAATTGGACTATTTTGAAAAGGTTATTTAAAAACTATGAAAACAAAATTTTCACTTTGACGTCGCGTATCTCTTCAAGTATCAACTTTTGGACTAAGGTAAGTTTGGTTAAATAGTAATATTACAGTATGTAGAATCCGCTGTTGCTTCATGTTGCTCTATTACTCATGGGACACCATGTATAATGTTTTTTGTATTTGCCTGCTTTTTTCAGCGCGAGATTTTGATTAAGCGAACAAATTTTCACAAAAATAACCCTTGACTGGTCTTTTTAGCGTAAGGATTTATTTCATAAAATTTTTTAAATTTTTTTTACAGGCAAATACTGGCACAAATAAACGATCCAAAAGATACGCGAGGATTATTTGGTCCACCTCGTACGACACCACCCCCTTTTCCGCGACTGTCGCCAAACCCTCGGACACCCCGTACACGCAGCACGCACCTTTCTCGCCCACGGGCCCAGACTATACCTCCCGCCACGAACTGTCACCAGCGGACGCTCGATAGATCTCAGGCGGCCGCGACACCAAACAAACGAACATCACCCCGGCCTACTTAAATCTAACGTAAAACAAATGAGTGGTACTCACGCTGCGATGGACTTCGACAGGGGCCAGCGCTCCATCGACGCCTGGTACTTCATGTTCTCTATCTGCTTCTTCAACGCATCCTTGTCCATGGTTGCGAGCGTACTGGCGTCCATGGGCTCGGGCGCGGTTGCACGGCGTCCCTATTCACGCAGGCGTCCAACGGCGGTTGGGTGGGGGGCCGGCAGATGGCGCTGGCGGCGCGGCTCGGCGTTCGGCGGCTGCGGAAGGTAAGGGGTTAGTGTTTGGGGTGAGAAAGACGCGGGGGTGGAGGCAGGGGCGCCGCGGAAAGGGTGCTGAAGGGTACGCAGTCCTGAATTGAACAGGACTAATAAAAATGAAATAAAAGAGATGTCTAACAATTTAGAAAAAGATCGCGAAGTCGTAATAAAGTTATAACTATTCAAATTAATATCTTCAGTCACATATTACTAACCATATGCGACAGCTCTTTGATGTGGTAAATTTTGCCGTGATGACCTTGGACCTTTAACTGGGATGCACAGCGTTGCCAAGTGAGATAAAATGATTCAGTATTGAGGAAAATACATACTGATTCCTTATTACCTCGTTAAGTTTTGATAAAATTGTGGAGAAAGTAATTCAGTTTAATTAATTTCAAGATAATTTGGAAAAATGTAATGCAAAAATTTCTTGGTTCATTGTCAATTGAAAGATGATTTTTTTTTCAAAAATAATGAAAGTGTAATTAAAACTAAATTTGTTTACATTTTTATTGTTAACAAAAGTACATGTCGCTTATTTATATATGAATTAAAATAAACATGGTGATTTTCAGCATTTATTTTCATTTTTTGTTTCATATTTATAATGGTAGCCTACTAATAACAGTATATAATAATAAAATAATGTATTACAGTATAATNTCTTATTTATAATGGTAGCCTACTAATAACAGTATATAATAATAAAATATTGTATTACAGTATAATTATAAAATAAATACATATTATAATACAAAATACTCTATATTAAATAAATATATTTAAAAAAATTAAAATATAATTTGATCCAAATAAATCAAAATTCGTTTCGACTATTCCTATATCAAGGAATTCATACACTAAACGACTGTTTTATGTTAAAATATATAATATTCTCAGAGGAAAAAACTATAACTGTTACTGGATGTTTCGATAGATATGACTGAAAAACATTCACTCACACACGTAAATAAACAATAATAAACAAAAAAATCAAATCAAATAAATAATAACTCACATTTGCATTTGCGGTCTTGCTGTGGAAAGTAACACAGAAAGATCTCCTATTCGACAATACAGGAATAGTGATGTAAAGTAGCAGAAGATGAGCGAAGCGTTCTTTTCTTACATGTATTTCGTCTTAGCATCCCGGGGATTTAACTGGAATGCATCTCCTTCTTTGTCCTACAATATATTTCCCTCTCTTTCACTGTCGCATATGGTTGGTAATATGTGCTTCAGTATTATTATACAGGGTGTAACATAAGTACATTAAAATATTTAAGTGGGGTATTCCCCAGTTAATTCTAAGAAAAAAAGTAATAGAAACCTTTGTCTTCAAATGCTTCGCTTCCGAGATACAGGGTGGTGAAATTAAAATTAAACAAAATCATTAGTACTACAACAGCTGCTGAAAGTGGCTATCCCCGACATTAATACAATAGGACAGGACCTATAGAGTTGGGCACGATTTTTTGTTTCGACAAGCTGAATTTATCACTATAGATGCTAAATATTATGTACAAAAACATATTAGTTTCCACAGTCATAAACATGAGGGAATATTGTTTACAGGCTGGTTAATTGTATAATTTTTACGTAAATTCACGTTTTTCGCTTATAACTTTTTTCCGTTAATTTCCACGAGAAAACAGTAAAGTACTTTTTTTCGGCCTCAAAAGACCTACAAAACTAGCCCTCAAGCGTCAAAAAATATTGATTGGATCAAAAGTTATCAACAGGTGAAGTTTATTTATGACTTTTGAATTAAACATTTATAATCTGCGTTATTATTACCAGAACGTTTTTGCATCGCATCCTCTCATTCCTTATCACTGTCTAATTCACACGAAATCTTGAATCGGTAAGCTGAATAGTTTACAAGTTATGGCCTTATAAACAAATTTACTAATTATTAGTCTGGACGATCCCGAGGATCTTCCACAATCACACTGATTTTTTTCATGGTAGATTTGATGATAATACATTAAAATCTATAATTTTTTTAAATTTCAAATTTGCAACCTGGATTTTTTTTAAATTTTAGTCATAGTTGCAAAATTAAATATACGACGCACGAGCGTGATATAGTTATATATACATATTCAGAAAGCTTATGAAAAGAGCTTTAAGTTAAAAAATAAATCGTCAAGGTTCGTTGAAAAACAACGGAGTCACAGACTGTCAAATATATTATTTACAAGCGAATTTCGCTTATTTAACGGCAGCACTATGAATATTATTGTCATTTTCTTGGGACTCGCTGTCGTTCGCTTCCCCCACACTTCCGCCGCGCCACGGCTCGCCCAAAAATCAAGCGAGCCACTGACTTTATTTATTATGCAATTAACATACTTCCGCAAATAAAATATTTTTATCTGGGAAAGTACTCGGGTTGCCGGTTATGACAGTATTTTTTTTTGCCGCTACCTAATTTGTTGACAATAGGCCGTCAACTTTGACAGTCTGTAAGTCCGTTGTTTTTCAACGAATCTTGACGATTTTTTTTTAACTTAAAGCCCTTTTCATAAGTTTTAATTTTTTAATTAAAAAAATTATAGATTTCAATGTATTTTTATGAAATCTACCATGAAAAAAAATCAGTGCGATTGTGGAAGATCCTCGGGATCGTTCAGACTAATAATAATTAGTTAATTTGTTTATAAGGCCATAACTTGTAAACTATTCAACTTACCGATTCCAGATTTCGTCTAAGACAGTGATAAGGAATGAGAGGATGCGATGCCAGAACGTTCTGGTAATAATAACGCAGTTTATAAATGTTTAATTCAAAAGTTATAAATAAACTTCTTCTGTTTATAACTTTTGATCTAATAAATATTTTTTGACGCTCGAGGGCTAGTTCTGTAGATTTTTTGAAGGCGAAAAAAAAAGTACTTTACTGTTTTCTCGTGGAAATTAACGGAAAAAAGTTATAAGCGAAAAACGTGAATTTACGTAAAAACTATACAATTAACCAGCCTGTAAACAATCTTCCCCCCATTTTTATGACTGTGGAAACTAATAATGTTATTGTACATAATATTTAGCATCTATAGTGATAAATTCAGCTTGCCGAAACAAAAAGTCGCGAAATAGTCATTTCACAGCTTATTTTCCTGGCCTAACAAGCTTCTGGCCTCCTCACCAAAGAATCCATAGCCTACTTTTGAACAAAAGTAACAACATTCTCAACAATTTCATTTAACGCCTAAGGGACTTGGCAAAATGCATTTGCAAATTTCTCAAAAACGGTGGCTTCTAGCGTTATTATGAAAGTGTACCTTTTTAGGTAGAAAAAAGGTGTAGAAATATGGTTTATTCGTAAAAAATCGCAGAAGTCTTCTGTTAAAATGGTGATGGCAAATTAAAATTAATAATGGTAGCGTACGTAGCGCCCTCTAAGTGATGCACAAAAATTAATACTAAAATATGATTTCTCACCTCAAAAAACCCCGGGTTACCAAATTTTGTGCGAAAAATATTTGTCTTTCATAAAAGTTATTTGACAAAATCGAAATTTAAATTTCTATTTCAACACCCTGTATCTCAGAAACGAAGCATTTGCGGACAAAGGATTATATAATTTTTTTTTCTTAGAATTAACTTAGGAATACCCCGCGTAAATATTTTAACGTAGGTTACACCCTGTATGTTTATCACGATTATTGCATATTTAATTACGCCTTTATAAAAGTAAAATATTTTTATTACAACCCTGATCAACGCTTCTCCATCCAAGGACACCAAAAACGCCTAAATGAAGTCAAAGTGCCCACTGCTGCCCTACATATAGCTGTGGTGAAAAATTTATTTCTAATCTTTTCTAAGATATAGAGAGTTAAAAAAAGATCTTCGGAAGGAATGGCCAGTAAACTGCTTCGGATCTGGCAATATTAAAAATGTTGCAATATTATTAGGAATCTTCCCAAAAGTAAGTAAGTGTCGTTAACGTAATTTAGACAGTGTAAGCTAGTCTTTTCTGTTAACCAGCAGAGTGTCTTCAAAATCGTAACTTTACTCCCCTTACACTCCTGTTTACTACAGTTTTTTTGTGGATTCCTTCCACATACCAGTTTGAAACACGTTTAATAAATGAACAACATAAAATTTTTAAAATTACATAATGTTAAAAAAAATCTCTTTGGAAGCGATTAGGAATAATTTGAAATTTGGTAGTGATGTAAATCTTAACACGTCTTTCAAAAAAATTAAATAACAATAAATAAAATAAACTAGGATTACAAATTAAAAAAACTCATTCATGACACAATATTTCTTTGTCAAAACCCCCCCATAAATATATTTAATTTTATAAAAAAAGTACGTATCTTATAATAAATAGACGTATTTGAGTATTTATCTAAACGGTTTTTTATTTGATATACTGAACGAAAAATACTTTTTTGTTACAGGAAAAAAAGTCTTTTTCATACAGCTATTACTTATCATTATATTAATAAATTGCTTCAATCATAATATGACTACTCATGATTGAAGTGGTTCTAGTTTACTTCAGACGTGAAATAGTCTTTTAAGATCATATCTTGATTTAAAACAAGGATATAAGAATTTTTTCGATAAATTTTGGTCTGATCGAATCACTTTCTAAGATGCTTCACTTGAAATTTGAATTTTTTTCGTACTGAAGACGCCAATGTAAGTTTCCGCCACTGAAGTAGACTTCCAACCCCCTTGTCTTTTGATGGAGGTAAAGTCTGACTCAGAATCAGTTAAAATCGTTCCAGAAAACCGTCTGAACCGCCCGTATAGCCTTTCGGAAGCGACAATTTCAAATAAGCATAGCTAATGAAAAATATACATATTTAACAAACGTAAGACGTATTTTCGATATAATGTAATATGAAATATAAGAGTGTATCTAAATAACACCGAAAAAATGTAAGGGGCGATTTTTTGATGAAAATTAATAGAGGTTTCTAGAATAAAATTTTTGTAAAAAACTCTCTCCTGAAAAAACGCCCCTCCAAAAATTT